AATAAATAAGTCATATTTTAATTGGTCTAACTGAAAGTAGCGGTGTAATGTTTGTTTCTCTCTTAAACACAAAACAATGCAGTTTCAAAGTAAATAAAAAAACATTAAAAAAGATTATTTTTATATAATAAAGCACGTATCCAAGAAAGTATTTTTGAAAAGTTCTATTAGAAAAATTTATATTAAAAAAAGAATTCGTTATTACTGCCTTTGATTAAATTGTTTAAATTATAAAAGGAAATAAATACACTGTAAGGAAAATTAGAACTACTTTCATTTAATTAATTATGAAAAAAGGAAATACGTAGCTATTAACGAACAGTAATAGTATTATTTCAATAGTAATAGTATAATTTTAAAACTCGTGAAGTAGTATAATAAAATTTTAATTTAATTATAGCAATTTTCATGCATTTTGGCATATTAAATGAATTCCCCATTTTGTTTATTTAACAAGCTCATTGAATTTTATTATATATCATAACAATTAAGAAAAAATAAAATGTAAATAAATTAAATTTTATAAATATGATGATTATGTTTTCTAAAAGAGTTGAGTCTTGATAATTACTTTTCAGAAAGTGAGTATCCGTATCGCTAAAGATATTTCGGGTGCTTAGGTGAAGGACCAGCTCATACAAAAATGACATTGAAGTAAAATATATCAAGAAGCTCTTATGATTTTCTAACTTAACAAGACCATAAAAATTTTTATTATTTTACACAATCGTTTAGAAGATAAAATCAATTATAACAGCAGAAAACTCTTTAGGCAATGAAATATATTTAAACTTTTTTACCTTATAGTCCCGTAATGAGTAATCCCCACTACTTTTATTTTCCCGTAACGGGTACACGTTTATAACTCCGCTTTAATCTTCCAAATATGCAAGCAATAGTTTTAGTAATTATCGGACGAACTGGAATCTAAAAATGTCGTCTGCTTTTCGGATATATCTCGTTGCACTGCACAAATTTATTGCTTGTGTTAGCCTCTAAAAATTGGTTAACATATGCAGTATGCACATATTTATAAAATATACACAGAAAATAATTTCATATTCTGGTACATATAGTTTAACATTCTCTTGCAGCATAATTCATCAAATTTAGGTATTAAATACGTAACGTTTGTAAAAATGTTAGGTATAAAAATAGTTCTAAAGATTGACACCTTAAAAACATTTAAAAAGTTGTTACAAAAGGTAGTGTATAAAAGATAAGTATTTTTGAGAACCCTCTGCCAGAAAATCAAGCAACAAGCTTGTAACTAGTAAATTATATGCAATAACTTCATAAAATTTTGTAAACCCAGCTTAAATATTTATGGAGATTATAGACTTTGTTATAACTTTGCTATAACTTTGCTATAACTTAAAAATTATTCAATAAAATTTATTAATATTTCTGGAGCAATTCAAAATTATTAACAAAATTATTGTTTTAAAATTTGAAAAAAAAAATCATTTAAAACTGCGCAAGATTTGAGTATTTAAATTAGCTCTATTATACTGCGCTTGCACGAAAAAATGTGAAAGTTTTTTTTCATAATTTTGAAGTCAATCATATTTGGCAACTGATGAAAAAAAATCTGATTTAAATATCTTATTTGAATTTTAAAAAATTTTTAAGATATTCAAAGATTTTTTTCATTAGTTGCCAAATACGATTCACCACAAAAGTTTGAAAATATTATTTTACACTTTTTTCATGCATGTGCAGTATAAAAGAGCAACTTTAAATATTCATATCTTCCATGAATAGTTTTCAAATTTTGAAACAAAAATTTTGTAAATTATTTTAAATTGTTCGCATAATATTTTAAAACATTAATGAATGTTTCTGGTGTTATAGCAGAAAAAATATTAGACAGAAAATTAATTTTTAATAAAAATGTCTATGTCTCCATTAATAATTAAGTTAGATTACAAATTTTATGTAGTTATTGCAAATAACAAATAAAGTAATCGATACAAGTTACAAGATTATTGCTTGATTTTCTGATATTGAGTGTTTTACTTGATTCATTTTGTAATTTATTGTTGGTCCTTCAACAATGTTTTAAACCTTATTGCTAAGTATGAAAAATCTACTACACTTTTAAAAATATAAAATAATCACTGAAAAACTGAAAAAACTGAAAGTGTCTCTTCCATTATTGTAGGTCCAAAGCGCTCGGCAATTTTCGTACAAGTGCAATGGTATTGATTTTGGTAAAATTAGTAGAAAAAATATGGTTTTATAACATGTGTTTAACACAAGTTATAAAATGTATGCATTTAACACATGTTTGGAAAAATGTAGTAAAATTTGGTAATTTTTATTTTAGTATGGTGGTCTTATGGCATGGACACCTTAGTCTGGCGTTAAAACCATTTATTTAGTTAAATTTAATTTTCTGTTTTCTATTTTTTACTATATGTTTGGTAACATGAACTATAATTTTGAAAACCAGAATTTCTGGTAAACCGTGACCATATAAGCGGAAAAATTACGAAATGAAGGGTTTAAATACCGCATATTTTGATTTTGTTTTCTAGAAATATGTTTTTATTTACCAGAAGTGTCTTTAACATTCAGTACGGTAATTTTATCAGAATTTTTCTCTCCGTGCAATCGCATGATGCATCGTTCCGATTAATTACATGAAATAATTTTGTTGACATACTACAGTAGAAAATCCTTTTAAGGTTTCTAAATCTATTTTCCTCAAAGCAATCTACATTGCTAGTAGCAATTCATTCTTATTATTTCATTGACAGTTATTTGCATATTTTTTTTCATCAAAATTACCCAAGGTTCTTTAACGGATTTTAGTTCGTTTGTGCTAGAGAGTATGGATATGTTATCTGGCTAAAAAACAAGTTTAGATTTCCATTATTTCCTAAGAAACGGATATTGTATTTAAATTAATTTAGTATTAGGTTTTTATCCGTAATTTAATAACTAGAGGACCAATTGGACAAGTTTGTCGAATCAATATATTACATTAAGCTAGCTAGATCTGCTTCAACATATCTGCTTCATAATAGGAAAGCGCCTTCAGTAGGCCTAAGACAACTTTTCCTGTTATGAGTTCCTATACAATTCTACATAATCCTTATGATGTGCCGTACCTCCCCCAGAAGTTTGTCTCAACATTTATGGGTTTTAATAACTATATAAACCTTACCCTGGCAATAAAAATAATTCAATAAAATGAGCAAAATGTTTCATTTTAAAATTAAATTTAGTTTCTCTGAATAGTCTTGTAAAAATCTTTGTTTATTAAATTTCTCTCTACAACCAAGTTTAACATTTTGCAGTTGCTACGCGTAATTAACTCTTAAGTTAATAAGCTCATACTTGATTTTATTCTAATCCTCTTTTCGATTTGAAAATGTTAAAGATATTAATTGCTTGACAATATATACTTATTAAGCAACTTTGTTTTAATCGAAAATCCAAAAATTTGCTCAGATGTTTGAAATATTTTGAAGAGTATAATTAAAATACTTCGATAGAAATGAATTATTTATCCACTTCTTGAAATTATATCTTCAAAGTATTTGAGTTTTAATCCATGTTGTACTGACAAAATAAATTATTATGTTTGTTAAGATGTTGTTTCTGCTGTTTTTCGCAATCCATCAAAAATATCATTGTCAATAATTCTAAAATATTTTTGAACCAAAATTTATATAGGAAATAAAAATGATTTTAAAAGTTTTTTTTTAAGTACGTACCAGTAAGTATAAATGTATGATAAATTTAAATATTACATATATTGATTTTAAAAGCTAGAAAACTACTTTCGGTGTATAATGGTATTTTTTCCTTATCTTAAATATGTATTTATGTTTATATTCCTTTGTTTTATTTACCTTCTTTTTACCCTCATGTATTTTATTTAATACTTTTAAAATACGATTTAATTTAAGATGGTTCGTCATTAGTATTTTATATTGCATAAATTATTCACTTAAAAGCGATTTAAAAACAGCTTTAAAACATACTTACTCTGTAAGATCATATTATCTTAGAGTATTTAAATAAATAATTTCAATACAAATTACTTCGCCACAGTTCTTCATTATAATGATCGAAGTATTATTTGCTCTGAAGCTGGCGTAGAAGATAGGGCAGAATTTCAAGTGCTTAATCAAGTAATAGTATCGGAAAAAAAGCATACAATTCTGCTTGTTCCACAGTTTTATATTCTTGACTTCTTTAGGGAAGGGGTAGTTTGCAAGAGATTTACTTTAAAAAGGAAAAATTTAACTGTTTTCACTGTTTCGCTAAAGGGTGCCAGACATCTTTTGGGGAAAATCTTTAACTATCAATAATTAACTTCCAAGAACTATTGCGCATTAAATTTAAAAATAATCTCTATAACGAGAATTTGGATATGTATCAACCTTAATTGAAGAAAAGAGTTCTTAATTATTTAAAGATTGATATTTAAAACTATTAACCTATCCTATGTGCTATTATTTAAATTACTCAAAACCTTTCCCTAAAGCCACATGATTAAGGCCAGCATATTCCATAACGAAAATCTGAAAAAGAAATGTCAAATAAAGAAATTGTTATTGTAGTCATTAAAGTATTACTTCATAATCAGATTTTGCTTTATTCCGAGTAAAATAAATATTTTTCCAATTATCCGAATGCTTGATAATCTGATCGGGCTTGGTCCTAAATAATCAAAAATCTAATTGAATTAAAAATTGTAATTTTACTTCATTGTGCTCATGCACCTTTGTACCATGTTTTATATTTCATTATGTTTATGCACTACTATACCATATCTTTTATTTCGTTATGCTTCTGCATTATTATGCCATTCCTATTATCTCATTGTGCGAATGCGCTGTTTTATTATATCTTTTCTTTTATTGTGCTTATGCACTATTTTGTCATATGTATTATTTCATTGTGCTTATGCACTATTATTTTTAGCGAATGCGCATATGATACTTTCGCACTTCTGTTAGTTCATTTGTGTATTTTATTTCCAGGTTGTTCTTAAAATTTCCTCTTGGAACTTTTTTGACGGCGACTTTATATATGGCAGCAGCATCCCTTGGAGAAATTCACGTCGATTCCATGTCTGAGGATTCCATGACTGAGTACTTGGATGAAAAGAATCCACACTATTCTCTCCCAGCTATTTTAAAACTTGCCAAAGAGTTGGATTTCAAGCAAAGTGGATATAAGTCCAACATTCCGAACCCAAAAACTGAGAGATTTTGGCGGTTTCTATCTTCTAATAGTGCTCTGAATCATTATGCCAAAAAACGAATGACTGACAGCATAAAAAAGAGGAAATTTCCGGAAGTCGACTCTCGAGGTTTTGACAGCGATATATTTGACGAAGGATTCGGTGACTGGTCACCGATGAAGCGATGGTGATAACTTTGAAAAAATCATTTTTCTTCAGATGTGCGCTCTTAAAACAAATATAATTATTTCAACCATCTTTTTCAGTCGTTACTATATATTTCCTTTTCAATTTGGAAATTGATATCGCAATAGCCTGTTAAAGGGCTTATTATGCGTACGATTTTGATGAATTTCTTAAGTACAATAGCAGAGAAGAATCTGTAATCAGTTGTTTTTGTCTGTATTTTTGACTGTTCATGTTTGATCTTATTCATATGTATAGAATTTTTCGAGGTATTTTTCTGTCATAGGAAATAAATTAGTTTTTGTTGAGCTTCCCTTTTTGTTATTATTTGAGTACTCCTTATTTAGAAATTATAAATTTGCATGCCTATCTAGAATATTCATGCAAGCAGAGGAGAAAAGTCTGTTTCAAGTCTGTACGTATCTAAAGAGTGGGAAAAATTGATTTTTTCCCCTGTTGTATGAAACTATGCAAAGAGAACCCTTTTAACGTGTTCCTCTCAATGTTTGCAGTCTAACATGTATCGGAAAATGTGCTGCCTGTTTTATTTTCAGTCGCATTTCAGTATTCGCAATTCTTCATAAATACCAAAATAAGTTGGGTGCTATGTTTTTGAGAAATATATTTTAAAGCTATTGTTTATATTAATTTTCAAAAAAATTTGACCATTAGCCATACATGGAGGGGAATTTAAAGAAAAAGAAACGTCAGGTGGAACTGAAAATGAATACATACATAAATAAAAAATTAACACAATAACAACTTGTATGTGCGTTTGCGTGTAAAATAAATACTTTATTTATTTATAAAATGTTTACTTTTTACCTAGTTTTTCGAATATAATAATTATAATACGTGAACAAATAGCTTTTTTTTAAAAAACACATACATCAAAAAAATATATTCAGTTTTATTAAATGTACATGCAATTCGTTATATTGTTTATTCCCGCGAATTTAAATGTTCACGACTCAACATAAATAGCAAAATATAATGGGAATACAATAGTTTTAATAATATGTCTTTTAAAACCATCATTCACATGGATTTAAATTTACTGAAAATTTTTGAACTGAGCAAACTTGAGCAGAAAATGAAGAAACTATATAAATGCTGAATTAAAAAGGTAATATTCAAGTATTTTCGTAGGCATGCTTGTATTCAAAGAGCTTGTTTGTTATACATTTCCCCCTTTTTTCTTTTTTTCTTTCATTAAAGCTACAAAGAAAGCCCAAAAATTTATGGCTCTTGTAAATAAATATTTATTCATTTATCGAATGCAAGGTTTTTTAGTTTCTTCGTGTGGCTTTGAGAAAAGAATGGAATACTTAATGGAAATTAAAATACTGTTTTTTTTCCCTTTTTTTTCTAAATATAACAGAAGTATGTGTCCAGATATTCTATACGGAGGAAACGATTCTGGTTAAATTACCGTACTGTATGGTAATAAAATTTCTGGTAAAAACCAACTATAATTCTTGTAATAAAAACCAAAATATGCGGTATTTAAATCATTTATTACGTATATCGTTCGTTCTTATGATAACGGTTTTCCGGAAATTCTGGTTTTCAAAATTATATTTCTCATTACCACACACTTAATAAAAAATACACAAGGTGAGCTTAACCGAATAATTGTTTTTTCTTTTATGCCGAATCATGATAAGATTATCAAATTTTACCACATTTGTTTTATTGTGAATTTTTTCAAATTCATTACCAAAGCGCTTTGGTAAAACTTACCAAGATTCATATAGAGCCAGAAACAAAGCAAATATCGTCCAGGATGCGAAACGTTTTTAAAAAGTGCTTAAAGGTGCTTATTTTTGATTTTCGTTTTTTAGAAGCTCTTAAATGTGCTTTTTTCCATGGGTGTTTTTAAAAAGTGCTTAATTTTCCCTTTTCCGAAGTGTGATATTTTTCTTTACCACGTTGATTTTCGCCGAAAATTATGCAAAAATACATTGTTCAACGTTTTCACAATTAATTCAAGCCCAATCTTTTTCGGCGTACCATCGGTCTGCAGAAAGCACCATTTGTTCTACATGTTTGATGAAATACTTGCGGGTCCGCACTTGCGTTTACTGAGGTGGATTCAGTGGTAAGGATTTTTGTCTCTCGTGTGCATCCCTGCTGCAGTTTGCAAGAGATTCTCCATTTTAGACTTCATTTTCCGCCCTCTGTAATAGAATCGAAAAATCTTTCCAATTTTTGCTGATTACGGGGACCAACTAAACAATTGTCATTTTTTTCTTCTCCAATAGTGATAGAAAATTTCATTTCTTTTGTTAATTTCATCGTTTGTGACGCGCTATCGTCTTCGTCATAGTAAACAAAACCGGATAAAACCATCAATTGTCAAAAACTTGCTAACCCTGTCTAATTATGATATTTTTCAAAGTGATTAAATATATTTTTTGAGTGCTTGAAAGGTACTTATTTTTTGTTGAAAACTTCGGCTACGCACCCTGTCATCATATTCCGGTAGTTTTGACCACATTTTTTTTTCTCATTGTTCTATATGAAGTGTGCAGTTATATTATTTTATCATTTTATAGTAATTATTACTTTTTTATCTGATCTTAGAAGTAATTGTTATAGCATTCAACTATAGCAGTAAAATAATAATCTTTTATGATCATTAAAATCCATGATTACATTAAAAAAAATAAATGATAAAGGCATAATCACATTGCCTTGGTTTACTAAAAGTGGCTTAATTTAAATAATGTATGCACGTACGTGGATCAAAAGTATAATTTCTTTGATATTTAATTACGTAATTACTAAATACTTTTTTCTTTAATCTGTAAAAACCCTTACATAATGTTCAATTATCTTCCATTTGTTTGAGTCAACCTCAAACAAATTAACGAATTTTAAATATATTGTATTTTTTATTAAAAAACATACTTTTCATAAATGTATTTTCTCTCGCACTTATTTGATATACTTATTTTAATACGTAGAATTCAGCATTATACTCGCAATAGGAAAGTACCTAATTTACTTTCGTAATTTTTTTACCAATTTCTTAATTACTTAATTTTTACCGGTGACTTGATGAGAAAAACGTCACATTATTAACGTTGCTGCAGACTAGAACGCTTCAATGCGGTTATAAATTTCAAATTGTATTAAAAATTTAAAAAGTGCGTCGCGGATATTGCAACGATGTAAATGTTATTCATAGAATAGAATTCATAAATGTTGTTCATCGAATTCTGTGTTATTCATAGAATTCAAAATTATTTTGATGAAAGTGGTGCACGTCCTTACATTCAGAAAAACTTTTAAAATTGAATATTCCAATGAAATGTTTAACGTTTTTATGCCATTTTAAAGTGAGAAGGCCAACAATTAATTTTAATCATAAGATGAAAAATATATCATACTAGTGGACTGCGCCCCCTGCTCGCTAACGCTCGCCAACCCCCGAAAATTGCCCCTCATTCTTATATGATTTGCTTCGCAAACCAACCTCGCCTCACTCGCTACGAACTTAGGTACACTGCAAATGCACAAAATTCTAAGAATTCAAAACAATCATTCAAATCTATATAAAAACTATAAAAAAAAACAAACATCTTTTTAGTAAATACTAAGTCATTAAAATAAATTTGAATTCAAATAAATGACATGTAATTTGTTAAACCTATTAGAAATGTGCTTCAGTATAATTCGTGATATAAATCAAAAATCGTCAAATGAATTCGTAATATATAAATTCGTGAAAAAAAGCGCTTCCGTCAAAATACTAAAATAGAGATCTATTGACAAAGACTACTCACTTCTGCCTAGCTTANAAAATAGTTATATTTATTACTAAAAACTATTTTATTGCTCTTTAATATTTTAAGAACTCCATTGGAATATAACATAACAAATAAGAGAACTCCTGTTAAAATTCATAGTGTTCCACCTTTTGTTATAATTCACATAAATATTTTTCGTAATTCAAAAAACTATCTTAACTATTAAAAACTGTACATCTTCTAGATTCCGAAATTGTGTCATTTTTGATTTTACGATAATTTTGAAAATTTAGTCACTCAGGACCACTTTTCGTGGAATTGCCCTATGAATGTACTGTGCTGCTTGGCTACCGACAACGTCAACAGTCTTCTATCTAAAGGTAACTTCGAGGTAAGGGTTTTAAATCGAGTTAACTCTCATATACTAGTGAATAGGAGTTGACTAATTGTAGTGTTAGCTACGCTACAATACTCTACCAGAATTTTATCTGGGACTAAATTCGATGAATAGATATCACTGGTTGATTCATTGCTGTTTTGCGAAATGCCGGGAAAGCTTTATTAAGAACATCGGACTTTGAGAGCTGGTCGTGAGAGTTGTTATAAGATCACGGTTGTGTGTATGGTCTTTCCTATATTGTTATTATCAGTCGAGAGTATACAGGTGTTTGATCTAGACGGAGAAGCAACAGCGCGAGGAGGACTACGTCATTGTCAAAAATAGCAAGCCAAACTGATCACTGTGCTCCATCCACCAAAGTTCATATAGAGGTGGGAGTTTTTGTCGAGGTAGGCGTATTCAGATCACGTCCGGGTTACCAATGTAGGTGGAGAGGCTACCAACAATGTCAACCACCATCTATCTAAAAGTACCCCCAGATAGAATCGAGTTAACATGTCTTACATACTACTGAAATGGAATTGAATAATTAGAGTGGTAGTTTCGCTACAGTATGTGGATTTAGTTGATAAGCAAATTAAAATTTGAAGTAGATTGCATAGTTTCTAAGTAATTGAATTTGAAGTTTTAGTTTTTCCTTTCTTGAGAACTATTCCATTGATTTCGTGTTTGTATCTGATTTCATAATTTAAAACACGTGCTTCACTAGTTAATTATCAAACTTTTCTACTCCACGAACCATAAATATTGTATCTCACAGTACGTAGAAATCCAATCTTTGTATCATAAGTTATTTAAAATGTTTCGTTTTTTTTCTTACACTGTACCAATTACTGCAAAAATAGAACTTTATTTAGGACGAAAGAAAACAAGGAAATCATATGCAAATATTTTTATTTTGATAAAAACTATGACGCAAAGTATTATTTTTTCATGTTGTCAATCAAAATCCCACTTATGTGAAATGAATTTTTTCCCTTACACTGTACGAGTTACTGCAAAAATAAAACTTTATTTATACTGAAAGAATAAAGTTTTAAGCAAAAATATTTTTTAATTAAAACTACGACGCAATAGTACTATTTTTTTATGTTGTCAATCAAAATCCTACTTATGTAAAATGAATTTTTTCCCTTACACTGTACGAGTTACT